CAGTTCTCCTGGAGAACTGCCACTCACTGGATATTTTCTCTTTCTCGGCCCATCCCCTGTAAACCCTAGAGATGGTTGTGTGGGAAAATTCCAGAGGATCATCTGTTTTTGAAATACTCAGACCAGCCCCACATGGCACCGACAATCAGGCCACGTTCAAAGTCGCTTTTCTTCATAACCTGCCTAATATTTCTCAGATTTTAACCCTTACTTGATTGCTCACAGCTGAGAAAGAAGAGATTTGGAGCCAGATAGAGATGAAATGCAAGTCCAGAACTTGAGTCAGAACTTTGTAGTTACATGGATTTCACAACTGAGCCACGAAAATGCCTCGCGGGCTTGTTTTCAGAGAAATGCCTTCATTGTTCATTGACACGGACTGCCATTTCTTACATGTGGAAAGCAAAATTTTAATATTTCAAAGTAGCCACACAGGTTGTACTTCATGAAACATAGAAGCATTGTTTCCAGCCCACTGGTGTGTCATAGGGATACATTTCTTCCTCTGTGACTTTGACTGTACTGACTTTTTGAATTCTAGCTTCAGATATGTGATAATCCTTTCCCTCCCAGCCCTTTCATCCTCCTCTGCTCTCTCAGCAGGAGTATTATGTGTGTTTAATGTCTTTAAAATGCCACAGCACTTTTTCACATGGGCCTTCATTAGATTTAGTAGAGTTCTGGGTTTTTATTTCTTCTTTTAGCTTTTTTTTTATTAGTTTGCAACATTCACAGTTTCAGCACTTTAACATTAAATACAGTATGCTTTTATGAGTTGTGATTTTTAGTTTTAAGAGATGTGTTTACTCTCTTGTTTTCTCTCTCGACCATATTCTGTTCTCATCTTTTCAGGATGATCGTGTGCAACCAGGTGATGAAGTTCATCCTAGACCGGATAGACAAAGATGAGAGGCAGGCAGCCAAGAGGAGGAAGAAGGAAGAGGTGGTGGAGGCCAAGAGGAGGTTAGCCAATGCCAGTAAGCTCTCCTCGCTCCTTTACCGACACAAAGAGAGCCTCAAGATGGAGATTCTGAAGAAGCGGGCACTTCTTGACAAGGAGCTGCAGCTAGAAGCCCAGGTACGAAGCAAGCTTGAGACATGAAAAAATATTAAAAAAGCATAAAGGTTTTTACTCTGGGCGTGATGTTTTGAAGGCAACTATAAAGAACTGGTGACAAATGGCATTAGAATGCCTTTATTTTGCACAAAAAGGGCAGGAAGTGACATTAATCGCATTCGTTTCTGGCGTTGAATTCTCCAGGAGGAGCTGAAGAGGGATCTGCTGCGGATGAGGAGGGAGAAGGAAAGGGCTCAAGCTGCAGCCCAACAGGCAGCCCAGGCTGCCGCTGCCGCCGCCGCCTCCCACAACCAGCAACAGCAAAATCTGTCCCACATCACCTCTCAGCATCACCTTAGCACGACTGTCAGCTCCGCACACAAGAGGAAACGGGAAGAGGAGAGGGAGATGACAACGTCAGCCAAGTCCAAGAAGAAGAAAATGATCTCTACGACGAGTACAAAAGAGAGCAAGAAGGACACAAAGCTCTACTGCATCTGCAAGACGCCCTACGATGAGACCAAGTATGATGATGCTCTGTTAAACACTGTCAAAATAAAAATACTGTATGAGCGAGTTTAGCTGCATTGGTGACAGCACTGAGCTGAATAAAAAGAAAAAAGACTGGAGACGTGCAGCTGTCCACATTAAAACATT